ACTGCCCTGCTACCCAGTTCAGCAACACAATGTGTTGGTTCCCGCGCCTTCTCTCTGGTTTCTCCATTTCCAGCACCAAGGTCAGGTTGAGAGCCTTCAGTCCTCTCCACCACAAGAAACTTAACCCTTCAGAAGCTGACCCAGCTATCTCTTGCTCTCTGGTGACGACTTTGAAGTCTCCTCTTCCTCCTCTATGGCCAACTCCTTCCTGGAGGTAGGGGAAGGGCTGGCATGAGAGCAGACTTCTCAGGTGCACAGTCGCTTCCTTCCACAGTGGGAAGCGCAAAAAGGAAGGAGCCAGGAACGAAATCAAAGGGGCACCCCAGCGGGGCATGGGGAAGTCCCTTCTGTGCCAATCACATGTGGGCTGTGAGCAGTCATGCCCAGCAAACTGTGAGACCAACTTCCCAAATTAGGTCCGCTGGAAATTTCGCCTCTCTCTGGTCTTTTAGAAAAATAAGACCCCCCCATATAGGCCTAAGCCTTCCCCAGCCAGAGAACCGACCCAACTGTAATTAGAGAAAACCTTTGGAAAACCCATGGCTCTGACCTCAGAGCCTTCCAGATCATAGCAGAGCCGGGTCTGAACTTTCTCAGAATCACTTTAGACTCAGAGACTAGAGGGGAAAGCAATTTATCCCCAGCATCCATTTTTTTTTTTCCAAAATAGGTTATTTTGAAGCATCATGATGAGAAAGTGGAGAAAAACACCTTCAGGAAAATCTGTTCTGCACAGTTTTCCCAATTATTTTTTGTTTTTTAACCAGAACATTCTCAAATTTGCATATAGACAGTCTCCCTCCACATCCCTACCACTGTCTTCTCCCATAGAAGGCAAACATCGGACCCTGGATTTCATGTTCTAGTTTCCTGGACCCTGGATTTCATGTTCTAATTTCCCGGACCCTGGATTTCATGTTCTAGTTTCCCGGACCCTGGATTTCATGTTCTAGTTTCCCGGCCCAGATCATACGATGGGCATTTCCTCCCTGAACTCCAGACATTGTATAACTGAGCACATGCACCTCAGAAGGGGCCACAGACAGAAAGAGCAGAGGCAGACTGGACTAATCCATCCAAGGCCAGTGGTTAAATGCCCTCCTTCTTTCTCCACATAGTATACTCTTGAAGATAAAATAATGGAATTCTTCTTACCCGCATGCCTGGGAGGCCTGGGTATCCAGAGCGACCCGGTGGGCAGGAATTGGGGCACTGGCAAAGAGAGAGGGGAGAAGTAAACTCGAGAACCCAATTTGTGACAAGGTTGAGTTTTTTTCAGAGTCCAGCGATAGAACCCCAAAGCAATTATAACCATTAAATAACTCTGAGTATCTTTTTCCTGTGTTTTCCTTTTAAATACAGAAAAATACAGAGAATCCAACAGATATCCTGCCACGTACTCATCTTCCACATGTTAGGCATTAGTATTTACTCATATTTGTTTCAGATCTAATAAAAGAAATGAAATTCTTAGGAGAGTGGGTGGCAGCAGGGCCTTGTCTGGGTTCTGCCTTCTCCATTGAAGCAGCCCTATCCTGAGGTCCCAGCCTTTCACCTTAGGGCCAAAATTACACCAGTACAGTTGACCACTGTCCTTAGACTGCTCATCTGAACATAAAGCCTCTCCCAAAATTGGGAGTACTCCCGTGAGAAATCACACCTCAGCCATAAAACCAAAGGTTTAAAAAGAAACAGTGATTCCTCTCCAGTGAAAAAACTTGGATATCCCTGAGAACACATGAGCCATCAGCCCACACAGCTCTGTGGTCTGGGTTAAAATAAAACATGGAAGTCTCGTATATTCCAGTCAGATCATCTTTAAAAGCAGCTCATCTGAAGACTACATGGTCTTTACATTAAAACTACTACATGGTACTGCATGATACACATGTATAAAATACCATGATTAAACTCATTGCTTATATATTAATATATGCTAATATAAAGAATTACAAACCATATTTTATTCAAAGGAAAAATCTTACCAAATGGGTCTCCATCGTGAAATCCAATTGTTCCCTAAAGTAAGTAAAATACAAAAGTTAAGAATAAAACTAGATGATTTACTCTAATTTATGAGTAATAGAAATTTCAAAATATAAATATGTATTTTGCAATATATAATAAGGGGTGCAAAATATAATAAGGGTATTGATTTTATGAAATACAAAGGAAAAATAGAAACATGTGTTAGTATTTGAAGACTTATTGATGGATGATACATTCAAAGATCCCTAAACTGTAATTGGTTACCTCATTGGGGAGATTAAATGACTCACATATAGACAAGTTCCCAATATGAGTAGGGAACTCTGGCACAGGAATGAAACAGAGTATCACATACTTAAACTATTTTTTTTATTTCCACTATGAAAAACTTAGCAAGAACCAATTTGTTTGAGAATGCTTCTTCTGCTTGTCAAAGTTTTAAGCTCTTAAGAAATCACAACTATCAAAAGGCAGCCAACAAGAGTTTCTCTGGGGATCATCTTTTAGATTATTGTGGTTCCTCTACTTTCCTGGTTCTAAAATGAACCAGGTTCTGAGTGAAGAAAGAAAGAAAGAAAGAAAAGAAAGAAAGAAAGAAAGAAAGGAAGAAGAAAGAAAGAAAGAAAGAAGGAAGGAAGGAAGGAAGGAAGGAAGGAAGGAAGGAAGGAAGGAAGGAAGGAAGGAAGGAAGAAGGAAAGGAGGAAGGGAAGAGAGGGAGGAAAGGAAGGAAAGGAAAGGGAGGAAGGAAGGAAGGAAAGGAGGAAGGAAGGGAGGAAGGGAAGGAAGGAAGGAAGGAAGGAAAGGAAGGAAGAAGGAGGAAGGAAGGAAAAGAAAAACACAGTTAGCCATTTTTGAAGTGCAGACAATGACTTTGATTATAGACATTTCCACGTTTGTTTCCTGAGATTTCTTCACTCAGTTCTCACTCTCAGATTTACACTAGGAAATTACTTACACTGGGTCCTGGGGGTCCAGGGGGGGCCAGGCGGTCCTCTTTTCCCAGGGTCACCCTAGGTCATTCCAAATAGAGATGCAGTAGTTACACAAAATTCAGAACACAGTACATAAAACCGAGGAGTCATTGAGAGAGATAGTATTACTGAAAGTCTATCAGAACTCAGGCAGGCAGGCTATAGACCTCTACCACCAAAACCCAATTAGACCAGGGCAAATAAAAAAATACTGGTCTTACCAAGGCAGAAAATACAGCAAGGAAGACAACTGTGGGGCGGGGGGGAGGGGGGGAGTTAGGGAAGGGGGGATGCGGGGGGGGGGGGGGGGGGGGGCGCAGATATAAAGCCAGTTATCTATAGGATGATCACTCTCCCCACTTGAAACACAAACCAGAATCCCATGTATCATTCCAGTTGGTTTACAAACCAGAGTAGCCAGTATTACTACTGTCAGATAATTAAGGCAAATGAAAGTGTGTACCCAGCCCGAATCTGAGAGTGGAGGATCCATCTCTGCAAAACCATGTACTTACTTCTGCTGTCCCCTGGCCTGATCTGTCACTGAACTCTTGCAATGGACAG